ATCTCATTAGTAATACATTCATGTACCTCTTCTTTATATTCAGCTCAATTGGGTGACTTATTTATTACTCCTAAAGATATCTGTTGGATTCGAAAAAGCACAGACACAAACATAGGCATGTTGATACATACAGGATACACTGAGATATCAAAACAGGTACATAGGAAAGAATGTCTATAGCTATAAGTGTCAAGTCTGCTTCGTGTATCCGAGCTGCACAACTTCATGTCGAAATGGCCATACTTTGTCCATATTCATCGATAACAACCCAAAGTTGTCTGAAATTTTTCGAGATCTAACTCTTTGCACATTCGATCCCTCCAAAAGCTGGAATTAAAAGTAAAATACTAATTTCTAAACAAGAATCTTAATAGATAACCTATTAAATCTAAAGTGTCATCAACTAAAATGTTTTCCTTGTCCTTTAAATTTCTCATTATCTTAAATATCTACTTTTATGCCTACAAATTCTCACTGTGTTTGTGAAACCTTTACAAGGAGACAAAAAATGATGTGGATGTCAATGGTTTATGGAGCCTATCATTTCAATGAAGTACTTTGATCACAAAAATTCACAATGAGAATTATATCGAAGGTTTATATATTGTATCCTTTTCAATTGCATTTGTATTTGCATGTACCCAGAAGGAACTAGAAATAACACAAGATGCTAACATCCTTAGAATATGCACAACTTCAGTTTCTTAATAGGGGTTCTCTGGCTAGAGCATAAGTAAGTGAACGAATGAGAACACAGAAGAGGAAGAAGAAAATAATGTAACCAGCATTTTCCTTTTCCTTCGCAACTATTTCATCATCTTAAGGGCAAATCGCATTGCTTTCTCACTACAAAGAATAAAAGGCACCAAATGCAAAACATAGCAATTAAATAAGTAAACAATCTTAATTCCACAGATTTAAACTTCCATTCAATACATCAAACTTTAAAAAGAGATGGAAAAATGACCGCAAAAGAGGGAAAATCAGGGGTTCTTTCCCTCAGGACCAAGAATCCCATTAACAACCGAAACTCCGACCAAAACCCCGACCGCCTCCGCTCCTGCCACCACTCCGGCCTGCACAACCCCCCGCCGCCACCCAGCACAACCCTAGCTCACTGATGGTGATCTTCTCCTCCACCACTCGATCCCCTTCTCCGCACCTGAAATCTCCTCTCGACAACCTCCTCGCCCTCCTTCATGATCGCCTCCGCCTCCTCCTCCACCTTCTTTAGCTTCTTCTCAGCCCAAAGAGAAAATATCCTCCGCCCTTGATGACGAGTGAAGGAGGGAGCAGAGATGGCTGAGGATGAGAGGAGGAAGAGGGAGAGAACGGGGGAATTTTCTGATGAGAGAGAGAACGGGGGTGGGGTTTTTTAGCTCTTCGTGAAAATAAATGGGGGAAATTTTCCCTCCTCTGTACGAGTGGGGAAAATTTCGGGGGGAGGGTTAGCGACGCTGATAAATGAAGAAGCGTCGTAAAAAATGTAACCTTTAGCGACGCCAAGGAGGGGAGGGTTAGCGACGCTGATAAATGAAGAAGCGTCGTAAAAAATGTAACCTTTAGCGACGCCAAGGAGGAACATTAGGAAAAGAACACTTTTAGTGACGTTAGTTTAATACGTCGCCATAAATGCACACTATTAGCGACGCTAATCCTAAAACGTCGCTAAAAAGCTATACTTTTGCCGACGAAAATGAAAAAACGTCGGGAAATCCATAACTTTTACCGACGCTAAGTTAAAACGTCGCTAAAAATATACACTTTTAGCGACGCTAATTATAAACGTCGGGAAATATATATTTTTTGCCGACGCCGTCCACCATGGCAATATAACATGATACTTATGTAAGTAATTACAAATAAGGCAAGTCTATACTGCGCGTGGCACAAACTTATTTCTCTTCAATACTTTTCCCACCTTCATTTGGATAAAAATAAAAATACATGATAGGCATAAAAATGCATTTAGAAACACTGTTGTCGGTAGAAGATGATTTCTAAGTTAAAGCCTTTCGATATTACTCACGGAGAATAACACACTCTTCAAGCATGTACTAACTTTTTCTTTGGGTTAATTTCACAAAACCCCCTTAAACTTTGGGAGGTATCGCATATAATCCTTTTGAACTTTGTTTATCTCACATAGTTAAACCCCCTGAACTACATGGTCTCTTGCAAACCCTCCAATCTTTATCTTATTTCAACTAACACCTGAATGAAACATACCATACAACATGGCAGAATATGCACATCATGTAGATTAATCAAAATTAATTAAATTTAGAAGAATACCCAAAACGTTTTTTGAATTTTTTTAATAATATGTCCCAAGATCAATAAAAAAATTCATCTCCCTTCATAAGATTTTTCTATGTCTTCATGAGGCTACATATGAACCCTATATATAAGATTAGACTAGCCTCATAGATTTAATTCCAAACAATTTACAATTGTTCAAAGCTCTATACATAACAATTATAGATAGAATAAAATTGTTCAAAAACTCTATCCATAACAATTAATGATATAATAGAATTTGTATTGCATGTAAACGTCTTTTAGTGATATTAGTGAGAACAATTAGCTCCCATATCGAGAACCAATTATTAATCAAATTAATAATTTTAATTTAACAGTCAAATCTCTATCTGACCAACTATTCATAAAAGCTCTACCAATGAGATTAATTATTTAAAATAATATATTACATTTAACCCCCACCACTATTATTTATCTTAGGTAAATCTTTTAAGCACGATAATTCACCTATTTGATCATGCCTAAATTACAAATTTCATGAACATAAATAAAAATCATTTTAAAACATCAAAATATTTTATTTTTATAAGAAAATAAATTTTTAAAAATATTTTTCAAAACCACATGTCGGCAAGAATTTTATAACTTTATAGGAATACAAAATAAATTAAGTCATAATGATGAGCATATTGGATCCTATCGAGATATCCAGTATTTCCCTAAATAAAATCTAGTAACTCAAAGTTTCAAGTTGTGTAGTACTTGCTAAACAAGATTAACAATCACATCAAAGTATACTAAATTACAAAATAGAAAATGACAATATCATCAAGGCAAAGGGGGCCATGTCAGAAAAAAGGGCGGCTCTCATGACATAAGTTAGCGGGTGATTTGTACTGCTATCGTACGCCCCCGCCGAGTTTTAGATGGCAAAAAAATAGAAATAATGGAAACAAAATCTTAGAAATTAGATTAAGAGCTTCTAATTCGAGTTCTTCTCCTCCAGGGAATCATTCTGACACTAGTTTTGTTGAAGACGATTATGGATTCATCTCAGATCTAATGGGGTCAACGGGTCCTAGAGCAGAGAAGAAAAGATACCAATGGCGAATATTTTGAATTCAGATCCTAGTCCTCTTAAACCAGGGGTTTTTCTATTCAAATTCAAAAATAAGGTTGAAATGAATGATATACTTGTAAATGGTCTATGGTTCTTATGTTCTAGACCTC